AGAGTGGAAGTAGGCTGGGCGGGCGGCAGCTGTGTTGACGCTGTCTGCAAAACCTTTCCAGCTTAGATGCCGTGACCACATCAACTGTTTGGGCTTGGGTTGTGTTTTCAGCATCCGTGGACACAAGTTTTGAGGTAGCAACACGTTGGCAGTTACTCACGTGGTTTAACAGCCCAAGAGAGCTGAAATAACCAGCAATGTTCCAAAATGCTTGGCTTTTTTTTTTTTTTTCCTTCTTTTAAATAGACTTTGGCTCCAAACATTATTAGATTTGTGTCTTTAGGAGCACCACGCTGCCGGGGATTTAGGAGGCCGGGGGGCGGTGCGGGGCTGCAGCTGGAAGGGCAGCGGATCCGGTTTCCGTTTGCAGGAGAGCCGTGTCTTCGGACGCACCTCGTTCAAAACCTGGCAGCTCTTTGCGTGCGCCATGCGGTCGTGGGCGTAACTCGGAGCAGAGCCTAAGCCTGGCCCGGCAGAGGGAGGCTTTGCTCTGGGTGAGGAGTCGGGGTCGGTTTAAGTGGTTGAGTGCTGGGGGCAAAGCACCAACGCACAACTGAGGGGGCAGGATCAAGTCTCCGCTCCACCTCGTGCTTCCCAGGTGACCTTGGGCAAGTCTCTTTACATCTCCGTATCTCAGTTCCTTCTCAGAAGCTGAGAATAAGCCCAAGAAAACACCCTAGGCTCCAGCTTAGCACCCACCAGGAAGGAAAGCCCTACCCTAACTGCTAAGCCGGACTCGATGCCTGGCGATTTACCACTTTGTAGAGCCGGGTCTCCTCCTGTTTACCTTAGGAGCTGTTTTAGGGCTAGGAGCTCTGCTCATTTTTTATTGTCATTTGTAAGAAAAGCCCCTTTTTTTCCTCAGGAACAAATTGCCTCCCAGCTCTCAGCTCACTTGGAAGAAAATACTGTGCAAACCAAGGCTTAGCCAGCTCACGGTGGAGTCAGCAATACCATTTCAGCGGTGCAGAGTGTGCCCGGTTTGGCTTATGCTAGAGATGCCCTAGCCCTAGTTCAGCACAGCCTGTCACGAAGACCTAACACTTTTTTAGCTATTGTGTGCATTTTGTTATGATAAATAGCTCTCTCCTATAGGCAGGTGATACGAAAGCCCTTGCAGGCGCTTCCCATATCACCTACATTTTCTTAAGTCCTTTTCCCTCTTTCTCCTTTCTGCCAGAACAAGAGGAGGATTCCTATTCCTATCAAAATGTCATCGTTGGAGCGTCTCACAGCTCTGATTTGAGTAAGTGTGTTGCTGTCATGATTCACGTGTGTTGTACAAAGGTGCCTAGAAGCCCAGATATGGACCAAGACCTGCTCAGTTAAGGGAAAAATGACTCCTTCACAGAGACCAGCCCAGCTCTTTCTATGAACCCCATGCTGACAAATCCTGTGTGCTGGTGACTGGCGCAATAAGAGGCACAGCTGGAACAAAATAGGCCTGGGACATTTCCCCTTTCTGTTGGAAAATACACAGTAGTGACACCTTATCAGCTGTCAGTTTATCTCTGAGCTGCTCCCCTTGACTTGGAGGTCTGTGGAGCAATCCAGCAGCTTTGGTCTCTGCATTGTGTTTCTAGTCCTTTCAGTTTTGTTATAGCCAAGATTTACTGTAGTTCCAGGCCCCAGCTGAGATTTCTCAGCACTTCCAGCCCAAGAAGGCTGCAGCCAGTGAGCCATTGGAGCATGGTGTTGGACCATACTCTCTGCTTAAGGGCTTCGAATTTCTGTCCTGGGATGTTGCTACCAAAACAGGAAGTCAATATGGTTTCCTTCAGTGAATTACTGCAATGTTTTCTCCACTGATAAACTGTGCGCCTGCTCCTGAATAGCTTTGTATGGAGTGATTAGAGAAGGCAGGAGTAGTGAGGGCCACCCTGACCCCTGTCTGAGCCTGCAAAAACCAAGACACGTGGTCAGGACTGAAAAATAGATGAGGCAGCATCAGCAGACCTGCAGCAGGACGGCTGCAGCCTGGACAGCCACAACCACGTGCCCGGCTGGAAACTCAGCCACGTGCCCCTCACTGGGTGAGGTGGTAGGAGGGGGTTTCACAGAGACCCATTTTTAGTCCACTTGCTGTTTAGCATCATTCTGTCCAAACTTTTCTTAGTCACAGATGACACCGGAGACTATGAGAACAGCACGGCGATACGCATATGGAAACTCCAGGAAGTGGAAGGTATGTTCTCAGCAACTATTTACTATTTATGGATAGGGCTCATGGGGATGGTGCCCATTGTGCTAGACCAGTGTAGACCACGATCAGGATGATGCAGACATCACCCCTGTCCTGAGATGTTTTTTCCCCAATCATCCATGATAACTATTTAAGGCCATGTGCAAATTGCTACATACACTTGCAGTTGAACTTTGACATCTACTCTGATGGGGGCCTGGTGTTTCTGGTACTTCCCAGTGGCTAGGCTAAAATCTGACCACGGGCTGCTACAGAAGAATGTCACTATTCATATCTTATATCCTCTTAAATTTTGAGGGATCCCTGATGCAGACTTAGCCTTGTTCTGTAATCCCCTAAGATAAAGAAACATACAACATGCATATTCAATGTCACTAATGTCAATACTGTGAATAGTCTGCAGTAATTATTGGTATTATTTCTTAAGATCACCTTTAAACAAGAGAATTTATTCTAACATGGGGCTTCCTGTGAAGCATACAAGGTAGCCTGGCTTGGGAGATGCTGGTGAATGCGTATGTGTGTATTTAAGAGCTTTCTGTGTCTGGTGTGGAAGCTGCCTAAGCAAACTGATTCTTGTTATCCTGTTTGTGCCCACTTATTGATCAGTACTTTCTTATATTAACAACTCTGAATATAGAAAGCCAGGATGATGAGCCAGATTATGTGAACACTGACCCTGCATCAGGCCTTGCACCTCTGTCAGAGCAAAGGTAACAAGAAACCAAATGTCTGTCGTATTTACTTAGAGGTGGGAGGGCTGTGTGTGTTCCTAGGAATGGCTGGTACTTGCAGCAAAGAGAGCAGTCATGGTGCTTTGCAGCCCTGCTGCTGGGTGTCGCTCACCAGCGATGTCAGACAGTCCTTAGCAGCCCATGGGGCATGTACGGGAAGCGAGGTCCATTCCCCAAGTACACCCCAGCCTGCTCTCTGCCATGCTGCTACTTTGGCTGGTGCCAAGCCGCATAACGCAGACTGTGGAGACACATTGGCCCAAGTTAATGTCCCAGCCCTGGGATTAATGTGCTGCCCTTCTCCAAGACACAGGAATTCAAAGGCGCTTTAGAGTGGCTTCAGGCAGCCCTGCTGCTAATGGAGCTTCGTGCTGCAGCCAGGAAACCCCAAACTCCTCTGGTTTGTGTAGCTCGGAGGTAGAGCACCGTAAGGGATTCCCTGGGCTCAGCTGAGCGCTAGCTGCTGTGATAATCCTGCCCTGTTATCAGCAGCAACCTGATGTTGATGATACAGAATTACTCCAGGCAGTTAAAAATAAAACGTGCTGCAGAAAGATCTCATGGCACTGAATGAGTGGGTGATAAAATGCAGTGTCAGTAAACGCATGGTAAAGTATGGAGGAAAAACAACTCCACATATACGATACACAGCGATAGTTCTGCATCAGCTGTTGTGGTTCAGAAGGAGCTCTTGGAGTTTTGTGGATAGTTCTCAGCAAACGTCAGCTGAACTCTCAGCAGTGATCAAAAAAACTGACAGGTGTATGTTAGAAAGGAAAAGAGGAAAATACTCCACCACTGTGCTATAAGTCTGTATATAAATCTGTGTATAAATCTGAGGTGTCTCCACATCCTCATTAGAGTGTGTAGTGTTTGTCACCCTTCTTCACATGGGCCAAGGACTCCAGCTGGGAGATGTACTGGAGCAGTATCACCCTGCTTGTCTTGGTTTTACTCTCTGAGCGCCTGCAGAGGCCCGCTGTGATTGTCCTTATGACAAGTGCTGACGGCTCCAGTTACAGGAATTTACAAGCACCAAATTGGGAGCACCCGTGGTGGGCAGACAACACCCAATGAGATCTTTCTGAAGCCATGCAAAATATTTAAGAATTGTCCCACCCCTCCAAAGCATAGTGACACTAGTCTACGTGTTTCAGCATTTGCTTTGAACTTTAGCACCCTGTCCCTGGAAGCGTTAACTCTTACTCGCAGAGAATTTGCTAGAGGGGAAGGTGCAACAGAGACAGGTCATACTTCTTGGTCAAGGACTTCAGCATATGTTACCACTTGCGGCATGCAAGTCGCTTCCCAACAGCACACGTAAGTGGTCTGGCCAGCCCCCCTCTGCCCAGGGAGGGGAACAGCTGCCTGGGCAGCAAATACAGCTCAGGGTGCTAACGCCTCCTCCCAGAGCATGCTGAACATGGGAACCAGCCCCAGAAACATTGTCCCTGCTGCAGGAGCACTGCACTGCTAGGTGTCTCTCTTTGCTTTAGCTGGAGCAAGCGAAAATAATAGTCCGTTGTAAAAACGGACTGTTTCAGTTAGGGTTGTAGAGAAGAACCCTTTTGGGAGGTGTTTATGGAATTGCCAGGCATTCTGTTAGCTAAATATCTGGAGGGAAGGAAGCCAGATTCTCCATGAAAATATGAAAAGTGCCATAGGGTAACTTTTATAAGCAGTTCTGTTTATTTCTCTTCCACAGAGAAATTTCAAGGATGAGGGGATTACGTTTCTGCGTTAGTCACAGCATGGTCATTCAGCTTCTTGATCTGACAAGGGCTGCGTAGCGCTGGGCACTCCGGACTGCTCTGTTTGCCGTTTGTAACACGGAGAGCGCCTGCCTCATTTGGAGGTTTGAGGAAAAGAGAGCAACAATCAGAACTGATAGATGTCCAAAATGTTTAGCAAAGCTACTGCAACAGCCCGCCTGACTTTCTGGAGAGCAAATATCGAAGCAGCATAGTACTACCACAAATGTACCCCCAAATGTGATAAATGATGCTAGGCAGGTAAAAGAGGGAGGAATAGCTGTCCTGGGTGATAAGAGATTTTTCTGGGGAAACCTCCAGTTGTGAACTCTAGCAGCATGCTATTGTGGCAATATGTATAAACAGCTTATGGCAGTTCTGCCAGTAAATTAAACTTGCCAATTTTTGCTGTTATAATGATACCTTCATTACAGTTTTTGCTAGGAGCACAGTAATGCTATAAAACTCCCCGCATCCAATCAGCAAATGCCAACTCAGTTTTTAGTGCAAAGGACTGGGCTTCCATGGAAGCTCTCCAGCAAGGGAGGATAGATTCTTAAATGGGCTCCCGGCACCTCTAGATTCTTTGCACTGCTCAGGGATAATCATCAGGCAATGTGGCTGGGGCATCTGCTTAGATTTTAAAATTTTGTAGTGCTTCAGAAAGGTACCTCAGTGCCTACCATTGGAAAAAAAAATGTAAAAAGCAGCCGAGTAAAGGTGAAAGCAGGCATTAAAAGTCAGCAGACTCACTACTTTTTTTTCCCTCTTATTTCAAGTACATCACGTAAAATCTGAAGAAGCCTTTTGCCAAGCTGTAAGAGCATCTCCAGCAAGAATGTATATAAAGGGGAGTCTTCGATCCTGCAGTGAAACCTTTTCTCCATGTCATGCCCAAGATCATTTAGAAGGGATGCAGCTGAAAGGAAGGAATGCTCTGCTTGAAGTCTCACAAAACTCCAACTGCAAACATGTAACTGGAGAAAGCACTCTGCCTAGCAGTGAATTCTGGCTGACCAGCTCTGCAGTTACCATGGGCAAGCCAAGATCTCGTTATCCTGTCTCATTTCCCTGCACATCCACTCGATGGAGGACGGCTAGTCTGTGCAAAGCTTTCTCCTGTCAAGCGTGAAATGAATCTCCAAATTGCTGAGCAGTAATGCGGTCAACTACTTAATTTGGCAGGCTGAGTCATGCAAGGTGGTATTAAAACATAAGGATTATGGTTCTAATTTAGTTCCTATGCTCTTCTACAGAAGGTCATTTTTACAACAGCCGTGGTTTTCTGGAGCTAAATAAGACACCAAATATTCACAAAAGCTAAGGACTAAAGAGGATTAAATCCCCGCTTTATCCACAGTTAGTAATTCACAGTACTTATCTACGGCAGTTCTTGCGTTTTGGTATGTGTTTTATAGTAATACAAAGACATTGCAACAACTGGGAAGGTACGATTTGTTACTGTCAGCCTCAGAAATTGCACCAGTCTTTCAGAATTGCTGTAGGAACATCAGACCTGGAACTTAACCCTTGTCTCGTGAGCCCTGATGCACAGATTTGTCACTGTTGTCCCACTTATTTATTAAAAGTGAAAAGCCTCCAAAGAAAATCCAGTGTTTTATTACAGTTTGATATGATGCATATGTTATCTTTTTGACTGGATGAGACAGATTGAGATGGGAGCCTGTGTAGCAATGACATAGAATGGTGCCCAGGGTTGGAGAAATAAAATAGCCCCTTTAAAGCCTTGTTTCTCAAAACCGCTTCAGAAAGCTCCTGTGCTTCAAGAAGGGACATGGCTCACCCTGCAAATCCCCTTTGCTGGTCAGAAAGAGCATAGGAGATGTGGAGGTAAGGAGGAGTGAGCTCTGGAGTGGGAGAAGGGGACAGCAAGTGCTTCCTGCTACAGATGACTTGGCTGTATTTTTAGCAGAATTAATGAAACACAGGTGGCCACTGCCGGTGTATCTGTATTTGAAATAGCTACTTGTTTGATGTGTGACTTGGGAGATTTACTTGTAGCTCCTACAGATACATTTATTCATGCTTCCACAGGATTTTTACAACAGTGACAATCCAGTGCATTTCCAGGGAGATATGTATGCAGTAAGCTAACAGCCTGGCTTTCTGCTCAACCCAGCCTCTGCTGGTTCAGCTTCTGAAGTCACATGTTCTTGTTTTCTGATGTTTCAACGCTGTGCAAAAAGTTTGCACAAACAAGTGACGCTGACCACAGAGAGGAGGAAAACACCTGCTTCCCAGTGAGCCTGGAGCAGACACAGTGACACCCGCAGCCTGTGCTAGCTCTGTGCAGGCTTACAGAGATGCATGGAAATGACAAGGACATCTTTGTTACTGAAACACTGCACATGGCCCACGCACAGCCACAAAATTTTCACTCTTGGTGACTAATTTAACACCTGAAGAAGCACCCAATTTTCATTAAATGCTGCCAACTCTAGATTTTTCAGGATCTGCAGTCACTGGAGGCAAATGGTGACTTCCATTTTCAGTGATGTGCAGTGACGTTATACCTGCTTGTGATTCTGATCTCATAACCAGAGGGAGCCATTAAATGCTGAGGATAAGATTAGCAGCTGTAAAAGATCCTTGGCACACGGCCATATATACAGTTAATCAGTACTAAAGGCTAGAACTCGTTGGGAGTTCTTTAGGTAAGTGTACAGCCAAAACACTGAAATACAATATTTACTGCTGTCTGCGCTAAGCAGGCAGGTGGATGAAACCAATTAATTTTTCCTGATGCAAGGTCCTTCCATTGCCAAAAATCTGAGTTAAAAGTTGTGGAATCTAAGCAGGCTGAGCAATTGCTAGACATAGATTATGTTCCCTTGTTTCACTGTGAGTTTGGGCAAATCTCCATTTTTCAGCACCCCAGAACATTCGGCTTTTGAAAAGGGTAGATCCTTTCCTAACTTGTAAAGCTCTTGAAGTACTTTTCAGCCGGTGATCTCACTGTGGTGGAAGATAACCAGGACTGTTACAGGAAGTTTCATCAAAGTTGTTATAATCTTTTTCTGGAACCCTTAAGGGTTTTTTCCACAATTGGTGAGTATGTTAGTGTAAATATGTTCACTGACAGACTGTCCTTTCAGGACGTATTTTTAGGGGTGCAAGGATTTTTGGTGCTAGCCCAAAATTGACAGATCCTGTGTTGTCTGACAATAATTCAAAGAGAAATGACATCTCTCTTGGGGGCATATATCTCTTTTTTTTTCTTACTCGCATTAGGTAGGCAGCCAAATTGCACTTCTTGTTTTCAGTTTAAAAGATGCTTTAGAAAGGCAGTTTTGGTGCTGCTGATAGGACCATCACAAATGGAGCGGGGAAGCCTCAGCTAACCACTGGAAAGCAGTAGCTCTGAGCACACAGCAACTGTGAGAAACCAAGTTTGCGAGAACAGGCTGTGCTGATGGCTTCTCAGACCAAGTGCTATTCCTTTTCTCAGGAACAGAGAGGGTGACTGGGTCCTATACAGTGCTATAGAGGAGTAGCCCAGATGAGAACCAGCTCCCATCTGGAGCTGAAAAGCAGCTACTGAATACAGTCAAGAAGAAAACCATTTAAACCAGGTAGGAACTGTGATTCTCCATGTTTCTTTGCCTTCCGCTAGCACCAAGAGAGCAAGCTACACAACGCAGAGGTAGGAACATCCAGTGGAGGTAAGGAGCAGTGTAACCTTATGAGTCCTACTAATAAGGTGTTTGATATTTTATGAAACTGCAGCTGTAACACCTCTGCCTTCTCTGTTTAACAGTGAAAATACTTAACCAGAACACAAAGGCAGAGTAGGCTGGCTGGGATGTGCAGCCAAAGGAAAATTAGCCTACTCCTTAAACGTACCTTATTTCAGCTTTTGGGGAGAGAAGCTGTGATGCTATGTCTGCAGAGGACTCAGCAGCTTAAGCCCCCTTACTACTAAATTATTAATCATATAGTTTAACAGTGTTTGTGCTAGTAGTGACAATTCACTGGCTAGGAATCAAAAGGTAAGTAAGTAAGTTTGACAAAATTTAGTGAAAAAAAGAAAGTACTCTGAGTATTGCATCCAATATTCTTAGAGCTGATTCCTTTATTCCATTCAGGAGCAAGCTCAAATGTGTCTGTGCTTTAGCTATCAATTAATTTGCTTTCCTGCTTTTCAAACTGAAGCTGACTTACACTGCTAGTGAAGATTGATTTGGCACTGAAGCAGCTGTGATGTGGGCAACTGGACGCTCAGGGTGGTAATCTTCAACAAAAGGGGCAGGGTGAATGGCACCCTCTAGAAAGGGTGCTAGAAAGATATACCTCTAGAAAGATTTGACTGCTACAGTCAGAATATACTTAATTATATTAAGATGGCTCTGCTTGGAGACATCTGTCTCAGACCTAATGTGAAGGTGGTCAAATTCAATTTATATTTGCTTTCGCTCTGCATTTCACACTTTATCGCTCTTCTATGCTCACAAGTGGTTTCCGAAACTGAAAAACTGTAGCTCTTTGGTAAGCTGAAACTATAGCTAAAAAGATATTACCTAACCCAGACAAGTAAGAACAGAGGAGGGTACTCAAATGCAGAGCATCCCAGAACTTGATATATTTTTTAAAGATTCTACATGGAATATCCAAAATAAATGGCTGGCACCATGCAAGCTTTCAAGAAGTGTGTAATACACTTCCATATACGCTTGGTGAAAATTTCTTACTTACCCACAGCCCATTAACAGTGCCCAGTTGCAGCACCCTGCCTCCTTATTACTGAGAGACTTTTTCTGCGCTTAAGAGTATTTCCTTCTCGGTCTCAGAAGGCCACTAATGATCAGTTGTGAGATATAATCACTATCAAAGGGTTACCTGCTGTTAGATCTGGGTACTATTGTCATAAGCAGTTTTGCTGATGTACTAGAGAGAAAACCTTAGTGCTCCTCCTTATTCCGGACTATTACAGTCCTCTCCTCCACCTCCGTTATACCACAGGTAAGAGCTTTTGGTTTAAAGTAGATTCTGAAGTTTTATTGGTCTAAATAAAAAAAAGTACAAATCATTTTTACAATAGAACCTGGTTATTTCTCTGGGATTTGGTAAAACCAAGGGAACAGGCTCTTTGCATGCAGAATTCAGGATGCACACAGCTCTGACACACACACACAGAGGCGCTGATCTCACACACCATTCCTTCACCTTCCAGAATGTAGGTTTCACCTCGGTCGATACTCTAGCTTGCTGCAGGGGCTGCAGTCTTCTGACACAACCTGGCCAGCAGTCCAGCCATCTGCAAGAGTGAGTTCACACCTTCCACTATCTTCATATGAGTGTACCCAATTTCCTGGTGATAAAGACACTGTCAAATCTTCAGCAAAATGTTGTCTGGTCTATTTTGATCTCTCACAGTCTACAAACAGTCTACAAACAGTAAGTAAAACAAACAATGACACTCCACTAAATATCCCTTACTGCTAAAAGACTAACTTCAGAGTCATTAGAACTTAAGAAAAGCCGATCTTCTAAGCAACGCTGACAGCACTGATAGTGCTATCACATTCTCATGTAGACCAACTGCAATGTTGTTCTTTTATGAAAGTCTATTTCCCTACTTCCTACTTGTTAGGGAGCAAGGTGCATGTATTTGAGGACAGGTTTTAAACCTAAGAGTGATCCCATCACATCAGTTTACCATTTGTCAACTGGCTGTCGATACCACTTACTATTTTACGATCTATTGGACTAGAATCAACTGTGCTCTTGAAGAAAGTTCTCAAGAAGTTAACTGAGCCTTTGATGTAATAGCTGTCTGAATTTATTATTTACATTTGTTATTAATTCTAGTTGAAAAATAAAGTGACATCAGTGGTAGACTTTAATCTTCAAGCGATCATTCTTATTGGCAAACAGATGAGGCAGGATGGGAAAGGAAACAGTAATAAAAAGTTAGAAATACTTTTTGCACTAATATTTAGCAAACCTCAAGTGGAAAACTCCAAGGCTGCTGCTATACTATGGATCACATCATCTTTTTAAAAAGGCCCAAAAATCCCCACCAGTAACTATGTTAGTACTTACCTTGATAAATTCCAATTTTAGATATTCTGGCATTTGAAAAGTTTTACACACTCGGAAGATGTTGCCAATCACATCTTCTGGAGAGTATCCAAGTCGCCACAGGTGGGCAAGAATCTGTGCAAGTAAGGATAATTCAACATTTATCTGAAAAACTTCTCAGGTGAGTCAAGTCTGTGTTCACTTTTGGGACAGCTGCCATACAACTAGTGAAAATGCGCGTACTGTTTATCAAATGATTTAACCTCAGTTCTGTTTAGCAAGTAATTTCGAGACAGCTTGTTTTTCTGCTTGATGGTTTATTCATCTGAACAGACCACTGCATAAAAAAGATGTAATTAATCACCTCACCTGCACAGCTTTGCCCTTATGTTAAAAAGCAAAGCATGCTGTGAAGTCTTCAAACAAGCATTCTGTAGAGAAAAGGTATCTGACTACACAGAAACAGTGCATGAAAACCAACCTTGTATGCTTCATCAATATTTGCATTGATGCAGTGTTGTATCATTTCTTTCACAAGCAGAGGATGAGGCTCGTCACACACCTGTGTCAAAGAGAATATTAAATTTCAAGATACTAGAACATCCTGCGCTAACACCCCCGTAGTTTCACCAAGCTTCTGTAGAGCTGAAATACTGAATCAGACTTACCCTGTAATACAGATTAAACTCACTGTAGTTTAAGTAATATGACTTTTCCGGTAACATAGCCATCACGCAATGGCAGACTCAATAGCACTAAATGAGATCACTCAAGTCAAAGATTCAAGTTACCACTGTGAAGTTTCCCACCAGTTAGGTGATTCAGGTGCTTTGAGACAGACTCAAAAGCCAAAAAGTCTCAGATGTGCTGTTAGGGACTGCAAGTGTTCCTTGTATTCTAAAAGGGCACATGGGACTTCTTATTTTGCTGAATGCCATAATTGCTACATATGTAATACGGTCTGCAAACTGACAAAGCACTTTCAAAGTGTTATGTATCTCAGGGAAGGTCTCCCACAGTTACAGGCACTAGACTTCTAGCATCACTGTTTTACGCTATTACTAACCTTAAAAACATTTTCACTGTTTATAAAGCCAAATCCAGAATATGTGGACTGTAAGTTGTTTAATGCCTGTGAAAAGAAAAAATTAAGATTGCAGTTATTTTCTGAAATGCTCTACTTCTGGCTTCTCTCTTCAGGATGAAATATAGACTTCTTAGGAAATTATGCCAAATAAGCAGCTTTCAACTAGACAAGAGAATAAACTGCAAATGTATGCAGATTGTGTCTCCTCCAACAAGTCAGTATTCGATTTTCACCAATTAATTTTTAAGTAGAAGATCCACTTTTAAGCCTTGCAAAACTTAACAGTTTAGCTACTCTTGTGCCACAGATCACATCCCCTTTGCTTTACCTCTCCAAAGATAAATCCTGGAGGGCCGCAACCTAGAGCTTTTTGCTTTGTTTTGTCCTTTGTTTCGCTGCCTTTCCTCTTTTACCTGTCTCATATCTCCTTGGGCTGTGAAGATAATGGCTTCCAGTCCATCATCTGTATATGGTACATCCTCCTTCTCAACAATTTTCAGTAGCCTTGCAAGGATTTGTGAATCTGTCAGCTTGGTATAACGTAGCACTGCACACCGAGATTGAATAGGTTCTGAGGACAGAGATGCATAATCAACAATTCCTCCTTTTCTTTAAAAAAAAAAAAAAAGTTTCTTTTCAGCTTGGAAGAAAATATCTCAGTTTCCAACTCTTCACTTGTCATCTTCTATTAAAGAAAAAGAGTCTGTCAGCTCCAGACAGAATATAGTGTCTCCTTAAGCATGTACAATTATTTTATAGTCCTTCACTTGTGCCCAAACGCGCTACCTGATTTTGCCCTGGTATGTGCCAATACATATCAAGCTCAGCTTCTGTTCTGCTGGTTTTCTAAATGTATGCTATTTTAACTCCTAAACAAAACCGGTCTAACTGTCTACTACGTGTTACCCCGTAGGCAAACTTTAAGATTTTGTCACAGGACGCAGGACAACAAAGGGGGTTAACACTCAGTAAACAATACAGCAAACACATTTTAAACTGTATCAGAAGCTGGACAGAGACTAAGCCCAGAGTACTCTGCTTCTGCAGAGATGCATAACAT